GAAAGTGACGTTTTACATTAGTTCATGTGTGTAGTCTTTTACCAGTTTTAGGATTCATAGCATGATAGAATTCAAGAGCCCGTTTCATATAAGAAAAACTGAGGCTCTCGAAAACTGTTGCTTCTGTATCTTCTTCTTCGTAGTCGGGATCTTGGAAAGGATCGTTCGGATTCACTTCACATCCGTCGAGTAGTCGAGTGTAATTTGATACTCATGTGTGTACGAATCACTAGTTAAGATAGACTCCAGCATTTCCAACAAATGAGTGATCACTTCCTCTTCATGAACAACCGTTGTGGAAAAAGATTTCGATAGTTGGTGAGACACTTTATCCATCAAAAGCTGCGTAATTCTACTCCAAGCGCTCATTCTCGTCAAATAACGTCCAAGAAATCAGCTTTTTCTTTCACTCACTGATAAAAAAGAAATATGCGCATGCACATACGTCTTCCCTTCTCTTCTCTTTTTTCGTTCTCACACGTCGGTACGTATTAAATCAACAGACAGAAAAAAGATAAAGTTATTCTCATATCATTCAAGACCTATTCCAAATGACTCATATTGCTGTGATAGAAAGAGTAAACACATACGTGCATTAATGGTAATGAAAATTGCACAGTTGCATCTAGGAGTGTTGAAATGAGCTCAAACTTTTACTGTGTTTAGTTGATGACTACCTCTTTAGATGCTCAAAATATCAGCTTCATAAACACTTTCCTCTCGGCAAAGACTCAAATGCAATAACAACAAATTTTCAAGAATTTTCAAAATTTTCGAGAAATATCGAAGCCATTGAATGATACAGCTCAAATTTTTAGCCAATCAGGGCCACTATGACCACTGGTCACAATAAAAATATCGCGTCTATCGGACGTTGCTCAAGTGAGAAATCAAAGATTCAGGGACAGAATCGCATTTTTCGATGAAAACTTGAAATAGTCATAGCTCCCTCAGAAAGCAATAAGAGCAAGAACCAACTTAGAATATTTCACTACTCACTATAGTCTGCAAGATAAAATTAGTCCGAGTCCAAAAGCTTTTTATCACCTCGAGAGATTCCCTTGTGAGACATTTTTTTTCGTCGAAAAGCTCACCCGTACTTCCCCCAGAGAATGGTCAAAAAATGATGGAGAGTGGGTGAGTGAAGAGAAGACCCACATCTTAAACCCTCACACCTAACATCCATACACACCCATACCCATACACCCACACCCTGAGAGCCTGTGTATAAGTACTATATAAACTGTAATGATGTATAAATAAGTATGAGTATTCCAGTTGATTAAAGTATAATAAAAACAATTGAAAAATTTGTATGTCATTTTTTATCTCTACGATCAAAATTGAAATAATATATAGAAAATGTATAAATATTCAAGCTGAATATTATAGCATAGTAAAACGCTAAAGATATATAAATTATCTTGACTTTGCAGTAAAAGTTATAATGATGTGTGTTTTAAATGTGAGTATTTGGGTTGAGTAAACCTAGTAAAAATGTTTCAATGATATATATTACTGTTTCTTTTTGTCTCTTTAGTCATTAAAGCATTAGTGAAGATGAGTATTATAATTGCCCAGAAAATGTTCTTGTCATATATGCCAATATTCAACAAAAGCGTTGTGATACTGATGATAAAAATATTGAAAAGAAACAGAGATCTTTTTTACTAAAATGACAACGCTAATTGCTCTTCTCAACACTAAAGTAGTTAGGTTTTTTTTTCTTCACGGGTCAATGAGAAAGAAAAGATATACCCAGATCATCTCACATAAAAAAATAAGGTTATTTCTTGTCACGACTATAGTCACTTTTATCTTTAGCTCATATTCGTATAGTTCTGCTTTTTTAATACTCTTTATCATCTTCGATTATTGATTCGTTATGTCTTCAAAAGGAATCTCTGCTAATAAAATACGAACTATTATGCAAAAGGTCGCCATATATCCAATGGATATAACTGAAATTTTTGATGAAAATATTTGTGTTCTGATAGACAGCATTTGTTCCAGCAGCCAAATGCCACGTGAATATCTCATTACGATGTTGCTTCCTGCTATCGATCATTTCATTAATGGTAGTCAAATTGGAACTGATACCGGAACTCCAAGAAACATTTCATTTTTTACAACCATCATTGGATATTCGAGTGTCAACAAATCCAGTGCAACAGAAGTAGTTTTGAATGCATGTCTTGCTATTGAAAAATATCTAGGTATAAAAACTGACGAGAGTCGAATCAATTGTAGTGCTACTGTTGAATCACTCTTAATTGAATTAAAGAATACATCGCCTAAACTTATTCAAATTTGGGATGAGGCAGTTACTCTTCTACAGTTATTTGGTCTTTATAAACAAGGTGGTGCTGCATATGATCGATCAATCATGTGCACGTTGTACAACTCATCTGCTGTTGTTAAACGACAAACTAAATCAGGAAATATTACGATCGAGAATCCTGTACTCAATATTGCTGCAGCTGCACATACAGCCGATATTTTTTCTTCTGTATCTAATGAATCCGATGATGATGGTCTGATGGCTCGTTTTCTCTTTTCTGCTCCTCAACCATGTATACCTTTATCTGATGAAATTAGATCACTCAACATCGATGAGCCGAGTCTTACTCATCTACTATACATTATATATTGTTTTAATGCAACAGAGCAAAATGATGGACGACGTAATGATGATGAAGATCAACGTATAATATATTCATATTCCGAAGATGCACAAAAGGTATACTAGCTTTTATTGATAGCAGCTATTTTAGCTGAGCTATAAAGTTGACTTTCCAGTCACTAGAAAAAGAATGAGATAATAATTGAGTTATTGAGCAGCTATCTTAAGGCTATAAATAGTATTAAAAAATAAATGATGTTTTATCGTATATGACATTGTATTCGGACAACATTTTTTTCTATAATCTGGATTTCTCATTTTATTTTATTTTAACAGATCATTAACAACGTTTTTGATGACTATACTCTTCAAATTCGAGAAGCGTATGGAATCGATCAAGGTTTGGGATCAATTTTAGGTAAGACAAAAGTACAAGTTAGCAGAATAGCTGGTGCGTTACATGCCACCTCCTTGGCTGCCGCTGTTTTTGATCAATTAATAAATGATGATTCGTTACCTGGTTATTATGACAAGAGCAAGGCGATATTTGATCTGCTCAAACGTGTAGTGAGATGTTTCAAAGAGACACACAAATGGACGGTAATCTCCGAAAACACTGCAAAAGCAGCTGTACTATTAATGAATTATTTTATAAATCAAAAAAAAATATATACAAATCGTAAGTTCTCTTTGAGATATATCAAAATTTATCAAAGATCTCCAGAGTCATAAAAGTTCATATTTTTTTTATTCTCATAGTTTTAAGTCAGAGTTAAAATCGAATTATTAAAACAGATTTACGAAATTATGTTTTTTTTCTCTCTTACTCTTCTCTTCCTATTTTCTTTTTCTCTGTTGCTCTTCTCTTCCTATTTTCTTTTTCTCTCTTGTTCTTCTCTTCCTATTTTCTTTTTCTCTCTTGCTCTTCTCTTCCTATTTTCTTTTTCTCTTTCTCTCTTACTTTTCTCGTCCTATTTTCTTTTTCTGTTTCTCTCTTACTCTTCTCTACCTTTTTTCTTTTTCTCTTCCTCTCTTCCTTCCTTCCTTCCTTTCCTTCTAATCTCTTTACACCTTTCTTTTCTTTTCTCACTTGTTTTCGCTTATTTCATCTATCCTTCATTGTTTCTGTCAATGACAACTCATCTTTCTCGTATCAGCTAATTAATATATAAAAAGCGTTTATTGAATGTTACCGAGGCAACTACCGTAAATGCATAATAATGCGTGTATTCACTAGCTCTAAATAAAACTACAAATGAATATTTTTTTTTAGAATTCTCTGGATCCGACTCGATGCCTTTAAATACTTATGGTTTTGCATATAACGTACTGCCATAAATATTGAATTCATAAATGGTCTTCCAAAAAGAATTGCTTCTCGCTCTCTGTCTTATTTTTATACTATACCCTATAGTACGTTAATTAATATTTTATAATGTCATTTTTTCAGGTCCAGTGCATGAAACTTTAGATGAAATGCGACAACGATATGCTCAGAAAAAAGATGAACAAGAACGAATAGACAAAAACCAAGCGATATTGGCTGAGTCTCGGCGATCAAAAACATCAGCACGGCCGGAGGACGGAAATGAACAGAGATATCCTGAAAAGGTTATCTTGCTAGCTAGGGGTACAAAAATACCGTGGATCAATATAAGCTTAAATCATGGAGGGTTTAAAGCAGCCACACTTCATGAAGCTGCCGCTAATCTTCAAACTGAACGACTTGGTATGTTAGTAACGTAAAAAGCAAATAGAAAAGAACGAAAAAGACAACGGAAGATAAAGATCATTCAGAAGAGAGAGAAAAAAAGAAAAGTGAACGTACTAATTTTCTCCCTCACTCAACAGTAATGTTTCATTGTAACATTATAAAAAAACCATATCAGCTATCACAGAGCTTATTTCGTTATGATTGCCAAATCATATCGAGACTTAATGATTTAACTACATTTAAACGCACATCGATTCATTATTGTAGTCAATTTTAATTTGTTTTATATTGATATAGGACTCTTAACAAAGGAAAAAGCCAGTGGTGCGCACAGAGCAACAACATACTTTTCCAAAGTACCAATCGATGCCAAATGGAATGCTGAACAATTAGCTGCCTTCAGCAAAAAATTAGCAAACTTCAATGTGTCACTGATGGCATATCAAGCATCTTTCACACCAGAAGCAAGTGTTACCACTACCGAAACAGAAGATGAAGAAAGTATGGATGCTTCACCTTCTCGTGAGGATGTTCCATCTGCAATGTCTCCACCACCAGTGCCAGCACGTGATCCGATTCAAGCCACTGTTTCATTATATGCAAATGTTGGATTTGAATTACCACCACCAACAACACGTGTTCGATCACAACAGCGAACAGAAACTGCAGCAAGTAACGTTTTCTTAACACCAGACAAAATAACAACAGAACATTTTACAAAACAACATACATTTCAAGTTAAAAATAAAAACAGAATTGAACCGATCCAAAAACCAACATCACCATACACATCACCGAGGAGGGAAATTCTTCCATCACAAGAATATCAATACCACAAGATTTAGCCATTCGACATTCATCATTGTGACAACTGACTCTTCTTCGCAGAACACTAAAACAATTTTAGCTAATTTAATTTTACTGATATAATTAGTTTTCTCTAACATAAACATCAAAAATGATATATCAATAAATTTCCAAGTTGTATACATGAAAATTGTTCACAACTGAACAACTCTCTAGGAAACTCTTGAAAGTTGAAACTTGAAAGTTGAAACTTGAAAGTTGAAAGTTGAAAGTTGAAACTTGAAACTTGAAAGTTGAAAGTTGAAAGGTGAATGTTGAAAGTTTAAACTTGAAAGTTGATACTTGNTGTTTTACTTCAGATCGATAATGAAAACTTAATTTTGTTGGGGGCAGAAAAATGGCCTTATCGGCTCTCTTCCTTTTTTCTTGATCCACCGTAACCACGACACAGCTTGATTGAACCGAAGAGCGAAATATATGGGGGTGAGCAACTTGACTGGTACCCCAAGATAAAGGATAGAAAATAATATTATTCCAAAGAAGAGTATATAATGAATTTTGTACTAAATGAAAGCTCGTCAAAAATGGGATTTGTTTGTACTAAATAGTAAGGATTTCCTGAACTTTGTAATGTCGAACAAGAAATTTTATACATGCAAAAAATGTTAAAAAATTCACGTTTTCTATATGAAAAAAAAACACTGGATTTTTGCATAAAATTAGCTTTTTTCATTATTTCTACTACCTCACATGTTTCGAAATGTATTTAACGAATGCAGTGTGAAAAACTGAATCGAATAAGTATATTCCGAAACATATGAGGTAGTAGAAATAATGAAAAAAGCTAATTTTATGCAAAAATCCAGTTTTTTTTTTCATACAGAAAACGTGAATTTTTTAACATTTTTCCATGTATAAAATTTCTTGTTCGACATTACAAAGTTCAGGAAACCCTTACTATTTAGTACAAACAAATCCCATTTTTGACGAGCTTTCATTTAGTATAAAATTCATTATATACTCTTCTTTGGAATAATATTATTTCCTATCCTTTATCTTGGGGTACCAGTCAAGTTGCTCACCCCCTTATATATATATATGATCATTTCAATAAAATAAAGCACATTAAAAAACATATGTAAATACTCTTATACCTATTCGATAATGAAATAAGATAATGATGCAGATAACGCAAACATACCATATTAAACAAAGCGATTAGATAAACTGAAGAACGAATTAGAATGAAATACAGATACATTCCACCACTTTTATGTCTCAATCTTTTTCTCGACATTTTTTAACATATCTACCAAAGCGATGTCGCTACACACTAATCACCTTCTGCTCTCGAACTATTGCATTGTACCATATAAGCGGCACCATAGCTATGATTCATTTTTTTTATTCTCTGCTTTTTCCTCTGTCTTTTATCATGCTCACTTCTAATATAAGTGAATTCATGTAACCAAGTCGATGTGTTAAAAGAGTAATTATTTATTTTTTTCTTTATTTCTCTTTCTTCTCTTATAAAATTGTGAGCCTAAAATGGAACAATAAATTGAATGAAAAAAAAAACAGCTATAAACAGAATTCTTACTGCAGAATTGTGTAATACTGTAAAAGAAAAGAAAAGAAAGAGAAAAGAAACGGAGAAACGATCTTGAAGTAAACTGGCATTTGCTTGTTGTCACGGAAAAAACACAGTGTGCAAAAACACAAGAACACCGTCAGTTGAACGGTGAGTATTACTTCTTTTTGCCTTAATCACATTGAAAACTGATAAGATTCTTACCAAAACATATACGAATATGTACCAATCAACATTTTTTAATAAATTTAGTTTCGAACAAGTGTTATTTTCATTGAAAAATAATAGTTGTGTAAATAAGATAAAGCAAAACATCTTTATATGATAAAAAAGCTCTTTCTTCGTGCTTGAGTTGACTGGAATACTTGCACAACAATAACATCATTTTAGGGACATAAAAGTCGCCATCATTCTTCTGAATGTCTTTTAATTGTCAGAGAGCCATAAAATGACGAAAAGTATTAGCTTATACTGATATTTTTTTCTATGAGGTGACATTTCTCCGTGCATCTGTTTACATAAGACATTTTTGGTCGATACATTTTCACACATTGCAGTTCTCCGCCGACATTGACGCGAAAAACTAAGTTTTTCGTCTCATAATGAATTGAGAAATCTAAAGCGTAGAGAGTAGATGAGAGCGAGGATCAAAATGGGTGACTGACGTTGTGCAAAGTAAATGCATACGTTTCTATAAGTGTATGTATTGTATGGAGCGCTTTCCCACTTACACTTGCATTCTTACTCTAAAGAATAGCACAATATCTTTTCCTACAAATAGTAGCACGAAACTCGTCGTATTTTATGTAATGGGATACGTTTTTATCTATTTATATTGATTTGAAGACCATAAACTGTAGGTGATTCTTGTTCACAGTTTGTTCGATATTGTTAGTTAAAAAAGAGGAATCATGACTTACTCCGAAAATGGGTCCAATATATCCTCTACGCGTGTTAAATGGGTATGGAATTCCAATGCAGATCCATTCTCAAAGTCAGAATCAGCCAATTGGCATTATTATTCAGATGTCGAAAATATGATTATCGAAGAAGCGTTCGCAGATGGTAAAACTCATGCTATGTTGGATGACTACCATATCGATTTTAAGAATAACGTTCAGATTTCCAACAATGATATTACTAAGCAACGGCCAGTCAAGCGAAAAATATGCGGCGAAGACGAAAAAATTCTACGAGAAGATAGATTTCTACCCAATCCGATTGCTCCAGATCATCCTTTCAGTGGTCGCTACGGTTTTATTTCACCTTTTATAAAAGAAGTAGCAAAGCATCTGAACATTACAAAAGACCAACTACCTTCCAAAAATAAATCAGTTGTTTCAATGATCGTAGATCAAGCAGTCCTTGGTATTATTGAGGAGGGTAAGAAAATGGGTAAACAAAGTGAAGCGGAAAAGATGGCAAAGAACTTAAGAGAAAAGAAAGATCTCGGAATGAAAGAAGTTTGGCGGTATTGTGCGCATCTTTATACTTTGGAAAGTTTTCTATATAAGAAATTAAATGAAGTCATGCGATTGATAGGAAGTGAACAACACGAACAAGTCTGGCGAAGTAAAATAAGTACCCTGGGCCCATTTTGTCTACTTCTATGGGACAATCCATTTAATAGAAAGATGGTCCAGCCAGATACAGTACTGTATCGAGGAGCCAATGTGTCTGATCATTTAATTACATCGTTCAATGAGGAGTGTTCGAAATTTGAAAAACCATGGCATACTTTTCAGGCATTTACTTCCTGTTCTCGCAATCGTAAAGTCGCTGAGAACTTTGGCAATGTCTTATTTATCATGAAAACTCATGTTGCTTTTACTGTGGATCTTAGTTCGCTATCCCAATATCCTGATGAAGAAGAAGAGTTATTATTTCCTGGTGTTTCTTTTACAATTGATCGAATTGAACTTGACAAAAACAAGAAAAAGCACTTGATATATTTAAATCTTCAACAGCGACATAACAGTAAGTAAAGATGATTTGTTACTACTTCTTCGTGATCGTCATTTGTATATTTCGTTTACACTTCTCTTTCGCCCGGTCCTGCTACCTATCTGAGAACCACTTTAGCAAAAGATTGAATCACACTACATCAATGTTTAAAGTTTGACTCCCTTTAATTAAAACACACAATGGTAACAATGTCGCAGAGAAGCTTTTGTTAATTCACGTATTTTAGTTACCAATCACAAAGTTGATGCTTAACTATTACCTTTGGTTACTTTCGTCATTCTGTATAAAGTCTATAATGAAAAAGTTAGATATCTAATTAGTTTAAGATTCTTTTGTATAGTGATATGATACAAACATGATTACTCCTGATGATAGCTTCGAAGTGTTATCGATTTCTATATTCATGGAAAATTTCCCAGTAGCTCCCACTTGTCGGAAGAATTAATAAGTACTAATTTTTATTTTATAGCTGTTCATACATCTTACAATCAGAACAGATATTCTACTGATTGTAGCGATAGGCACACCACTAATACATGAGCACCTTTATATTGGGAATTCTCATTTTTGATATTGCGTATATGCATATCCTTCTTTTTTTGTTCTGTCAACGTTGTTTCCTGTATCACTATCCTTCGTACTCATGTATATAATGATGTACTCAGTGTGATATGAACACCTACGTTTTACGGAGTGATGAAGTAGCTCAATAAACATCATTGTCGGGAGTAGCGATATAGTTACAACTTCATCATCCTTTCATTTTCTGTTACACTGATCATAGAATATTCAGTATTCTATATATGTAATAAGTTGAAAGTTTCTATGAACCCAATGAAAAATGCTATATACATAGTTTCAATTGTTATATCAGGAGTCTCAAAGTAGAAAATCCGTCTATGTTTTATAGATGAAACTTCCGGTCATATTTATGATAGTAAGTGGAAATAGAAAAGCTTCTACGAGTTCTTGAATTCGGAAGATGAAGTCTAAATAAAAACATAATGCACAGATACGAAGAACATATAAATGGAAAATAAAGTCTACAGTTTATAAAAATCTGTCGTGCAAGTATAGATGTAAGAGGATATAACCAATGAAGTTCTCAGCTGAGCAATCCTATTTAACCCTTTCAGGTCGGAATTTTTTTCTATCGAAAATTGGTTCTTTTTATTAGTTTATTGAATCTGGCTCAAAATCTACCATTGAAAACTTTATGGTATTCAAAGAAACCGTTTCTCTCGTCTGTTACGCAAAACCAGTTTGCAATCAGAGTATTCGATGGTTGATCGAACTTGCACTTCTTTTATGCTACAGTAAGCACATCTCCTTCGTGTTTCATTGACAGATAAATGCATTCCACCATATAATTGAACGTGGCGATGGTAGTTTACGCTTCTTGTCTGAAGTAAGTCTTCTAAGATTTGTTCGCTCAGCGCCAGAACCAAGAAACTAAGTCATCGAAACCAAATAATTTAACTACAATAAGTCGTTCTGAGCTAGTTGATTGTAGCAGATAAATGGGTTAGCAAAAGATACATTGATGAAAAAGACGAAACGTCGAAGTCATTTTCTTCTAGACTTCCGATCAAGGATGTAGCATGATATTTTCTGATTTAATCGATCAACTCCATATGTAAGCTTGTTGTAGTCTTTTATTACTTTTGGGCAGCTAATTTGAATAAGCTATCCATTTTTTCGACCGTCGAAAGATTGGAATGATTTCAGTGTTTTTACAGTCATTTGACGCTAGAAAGACATGCTTCGTATCCATCCATTTAAAGACAATAGATTGTATCGGACATTCTCGTAAAACAATATGTCAGAGGAAGAGAGGGGAAATATGGCGTCATTGTATAATCATAGAAAGAAAAAGCGAATGCCTGAAAAGAATGTATACAGCGTCAAGAAAAGATATGTATAACATGATACTTGAAGCACTCCGTAGTCTCTATGTATAAAAATTTTTGATACATAAATATAAATGAAATGTTTTTCTCAGAGGGAAAACAGATGGTACAACTCTTGTACTACAGTCCTAAAAGAGTTAAAAAGAGTAGACAGATGTTCGTATTTCATTTTTAGATCACGTGTTAAGAGAATATACATTGCTTTTCACAGACCAAAATCCTTGGGTGAAGTATCAGTTGAATAAAGTATACTATTCATCAATTGAAAAACTGAATTTGAATTTTGTCTCGATAAATTAGATATTCGGTTCAGAACAGACATGCACCAAAACCAAAAGTTTTGGTTTTGAGGTTTTGGCTTTGATACGGTTTTGGTGCATGTCTAGCTCAGAGGATTTAGTAATCTAAATGAGCAACAAAATTTGAAACACAGAGAAACTGTACTACAGCCAAGATCAGAGTGACGATAGAGGTATAACAAAGGCAAGAACTTTGTACAATGGAAAACCTACTTTTTCATCTTGCCCCTTTCAAACCTCAGCATACCTCTCTCTTCATGCCAATAATTTATGATTTTTATTGGGTAAATTCTGAACTTTGAGTCGAATCTAACTCATATTATAAGATTAGCTGCTCCATCAAAATGACTTCTACTGATCAAATCATAGAGAGTTCATATTAAAAAACCAACAGTACAAGTCAATTCCAAAGTTACAGCTTATCTACGTCTAGAAATAAAATCTGAGCTAACGTTGGATGAATACAAATATTTATTTACTTATCACTCGATCACACTCGCTTATGGACATACCTTACTCCATAGAGCTGGAACTATTCATTAAAACATCATGCCGAAAATACATATAATATCGCGACTACAACAACATATATATGGGAGTGATCAACTTGACTGATTGCCCAGAGTTGATTTATTGATCTACGCATTAGAAAAATCTAATTTTTTTTACCAGTTACACTACACATATAATGCTATTGATCTATCACTATTTGAAATTTATATATCACTAGAAATGAGAATTATTTAGTGCATCTTTGTATTTATTGTGCTAAACGTGCTTCACATTGTCTATGTTAATCTATACGATTCCCAACCCGAGTTTGAAACACAACCAAAGATGAGTATATAGCTTCATTTTCAAACAATTAATAAGGAGATACAATTTATCATGTTATCTATCTACGAATAGGATGTTTATTTAAGTTCAAATTACATAAAGCAGCAACGACTTGTATAATTTTTGTTATTTTATGAAAATTATCAGCAGGTTCTCTGTAAACACCACCAATAATAGCATAAGTTTTGAGACGTTGATTAATATTTTCGATCGCTGCCCTTGCACTATTATTATCACGATTGAAATCTTTATTTTCTTATGTTACTTCACGTCCATGAGGTTTTTTTCTTGGAGTGACTACATATTCTTCACCGATTTATCCCTTGTCACCAATAATTTGTACAGATTCTTCAACGTGTTCTAATAGACCTGATTCTCAAAGAACTGTAATATCATATATACTTCCATGGTAACATTCAGATACATGTACTATTCGATGACGAAAATCCCAAGCTATTTGTACTTTTATTGCATAATTTGTTGGAATTTTTGCATGATAATATGCTTTACGTTGTTCTGAATCATGCGGTTCAAAAATTGCAATAAAACTCGAGTCAACAATTAATTTACGATATTGTTGAGGTCCATGTGGTGTTCTTCTGTTAGATAGATCAGCAAGTAAAGAAACGAATGCTGGATATACACACGAATGTAAAATATCCACTACTGCTGATAAGAAATAATTCACCGCTGGCTGACTAAAATTTAATTCTGATGCAATGTAGCGTTCAGAATGATAATGTTTGAAATACCATAATGTAACCATAAGGAAATTCATCGGAGACAAATAGGATGTGGTCGTACTATTCCCATGTAACTTGTTTCTATGGGAACAATAATTTATTAATGGTTCTTCACACATACAATACGATTCTTGTACTTGTTCAACGTCATGCACAGTATGCTGTATACAAGATGCATCAGTACGTTTCCATTCTGACCATGGACGTTGATCTAGAATACATAAAAAAAAGGTACTTCATAATCATTCATTTTGACTACTGCTGTAGAAGTAAATAATGTGCTAAAAGGTACATGCATAAATCGAAAAAAATTGATGTTACTTATTATCATCTAAAACTTGAAAATGCTGCTGAATAGCAGCTTCCTTTTCTTCCAATTTTATTTGTCTTTCTTTTTCAAATTCTGGTGTACAATAATTACAGTTGTCACGATAACGATAATAATTGTTGTACAAACCAAACTTTCCCGAGCCAGTACAGGTCCAAGTTAACATCAAATTGCAACCGATACAATATTTTCGACGATCAATTCGAACAGATCCACATTCAGCACAATTCCATTCAAGTTGTGGAGAAAACATAATTCCAGCGTACTATGTGTTTGTTATCGATAGAAAATATGTTAAAGAAAACGAAGAACGAAAGAAAGTGAAAAGGATCACAGCTAGAACAATAATGACTTAAATACGCTAGAATAGAATGAATAAAATATATACGGAGAACAAGATGTAAACAAATACGATATGAAGCACGTTTAGCACAATAAATACAAAGATGCACTAAATAATTCTCATTTCTAGTGATATATAAATTTCAAATAATGATAGATCAATAGCATTATATGTGTAGTGTAACTGGTAAAAAAATCAGATTTTTCTAATGCGTAGATCAATAAATCAACTCTGGGCAATCAGTCAAGTTGATCACTTCCATATGTATTTCTATCATTTCTTGCAACAAACAATAAAAACGTCATTTGAAAGCGTTTCAGAAAAACTTTTCTCCACTTAACGCTATGAAAAACTCTTGATCCCCAAAACACTTCATTTTCAAAAAATCAACTAGTTCAAAAGCCTTTTCTAGGATTCGACCAGCATCAGCTCGGAAAATCATCCAACCTGTCAAATGCGACACATCCGAAGTATCGTCTTGATCGCCCTACTAATCTTCGTCTTGATCGTGATGAGGATGATGCTGATCGTGATGGTTATGATGACGACTGGAATTGAGAGTGAAGCTCGATTTACAACTTTGAACATTTCATTTTTCAAGCCAGGAAATGTTTTGGTTTCCTTGTTTTGCGTTTCTAATTTAAGAAATTATTAGATGTCGCGCAGAAAAATTTCACTATCGTGTGTAAAGAAGATGTAGGCTAATTTAGTGGATTACTTAGAAAGCAATCTATGTGCTATTGCTTTCTATGATGATTTTTCTGTTCGGTATCGGAATATATATGGTAAGTAAAGGTAATCAATTTTCCAGAAGAAACTTATTAAGTTTTACGATGTAAATACAAGTAAATACTTTTTACAGCGAGATGTGTTGAGAATGTCTTCAATAACTCTGTTTCTCTAATCAACCATATATTATTGTCACTTATTAATCAAATCTGACCGATGTACTCCTCCTGATTGCTACTTTTACATATGAGCGTAACCAAAGGGAAACAACAGAGACTTCGGTCGTGAAGTCCCATGAAGTCTTGAAAGTCTTTTAAAGCCTCCTGATGTTCCGTGAAGTCTTTTGAAGTCGTGAAGTCAGGTGTTTCCCCCTTGAGTTATAGTCTATATGAGTGCATCAGCGAGATTTTTTTATCGAATACATAATTCAATGTACTCTCTCTAATGAAACTATTTGCAACTTAAAATTCACTGTCTAGTAAAGCATTTTTGCTACAATACTACTCTTCGAACCCAATTTGTGTTATTTTTCACTGATCTTCGACAATTTTTGAATAGATTATTTCACATTTAGTCTCAAACAGATATGAAATTTGAAATCCGCATAAAAAAACCTAGTTGATCTATGGGTTCCAAATTTTTTCTGCTGCTTTTTCCTGGGTCAATTATTTACTCTCTAATCATCCTCCGGAGTTTATATAAACAGAAGCCTAATCAAAACAACTGTTTTATTGGTTATTCAAGAATCTTTTTGACGTCAAACGACATTTAATAAGTTTAAAAATTCCTTTACATCACCAACATAGTTTTTTGAGTAACTTAATTTTTTCACTTATCCCTGAGAAGGACTAGAGAGTAAAAAATTTACCCTAAAAAGGTGCAAAAAAAATCCAAACACACATAGATCAACTAAGTCTTTTATACCGATTTCAAATTTAATATTTGTTTGAAGCCAACTGGGAATTAATGTGGCCGTCGAATATCAGTCAAAACTGACACAAGTCGGGCCTCAAGAATAGTGAGCAGAGAAAAGTACTTTACGAGACATCAAGTTTCAAGTTGTAAACGGTTGGTCAGAGAGAACACATTAAATTACGTATTCGACAAAAAAAATATTTCGATGGTGCACTCGTATAAACGATAACCTCTAACAGGCAAAAAATCACTGGTTGAAGCAATGTGATCCGATCGGGGTGGTATTCGGTATTTATCGATAGAGAAAGTTTTCAATATCTGAAACGGTCTTACAGATTCTAATGGAGAAAAAAAATTTTGCATCGAATGAGACTATTTTTAAATAGTCAAATCAGATTTTAATGGACTTTCAGGACGAAAATTATGTTTTAGGACCTGCGGAAAGTTTTTCAAATCTTTCTTTGTATCCCACTAGTTTTCAAAAAAATGTGAGGGTGTGGGGTGTGGGGCGTGGGTGTGTGGGTATGGGTGTGGGTGATCAGAATTGATACGCATACACATATCCACACCCACACCCCATTCTGGGTATGAATAGAAGAAATACATATGTATATATATGATGATAACACTATCACGTATTATAAGCTATGCGATAGAAAGATTAATGCGCAAAAAGAATAAAAAAGACAAGGTCAATATCGATGTTTATTGACCGTGAGAAAATAGAAACGAACGAACAATTTCAAGTGAGCAAGAAGAACTAAAGAACAGATATATATAAGAGAAAGAGAAAGGAAAATGAACATGCGCATACGTATATAGTTCATAAGGAAGAATATTTCCTTAACCATCGTCTTGAAAAACAAAATATGATGACCATTTGTTACTTTTGAACTTACACTGATTTCTTCATATTCAATAGCTCTTCTTTTTCCTTCAGTTAAATCACGGGAATCATGTTCATTTCCAATACAAAGCAAGTATCTACTTCATATAGAAATGTTTTTTTTTTGTTGAGATATTTCAAGCAGACAAATCGATCTACTTTAAATTAATGTGTTTGTTGAATTCCAATCCGTTGAATAGACATCGTAATACAACATTAATAATCTCATGATGGATGAAGCATTGTTCAATGACAGAATGGAGTGTGTATTGATGAAACGAAGATCCATCACCCACAATCATGCTTCACCCACCCACACCCTCGGTAAAGGTGTTTCTACGCGACATGCACCGTCCTTACCCTCATGCGTGCTGTAGTGTACAGAAAAGATACCGCATGTGGGTGATGGCGATGGATGTTGTGTAGAAGTACCTATTCCAGTAAATCATAACAAATTCATTGAATAAGAAGGTGAGTGTGGGTGTGAGTCTTGATTTCAAATAAACCCACAATCCACACACACACCACACCCCTCCTCGGTTGGACCTTATAACATCGGACTTGCAGAATTTATAGATTTTTAGTTCATGGTTTTCGTTACTCTTGAAAATTATAACTCTAAAACTTTTACATTACACAATATTTTGCTTTTGGTAAACTCAATGATATATGATCGAAAAATCCAGTATACACAAATTGACGCAGTTTGGTCTTCTCTTTTATTTGGTGAAAAACCATGTATCTCTATCTTGTTCATATCCAAACCTATTTTAAAAAATATTCGCCCCCTTCTTTTTTGAAATGGATAATAGTTAAGGTTCGGTTCGTTTTCCGTCTCGTATTCGCACTGAACACTGTAAAAAAAAAAAAAGAAAAGACTATTTTGATACACTGGTTTTCTCATAAAAACATTAAACTTCTGTCTAATTTAATATTGATAAATTACAATTTTTGTATGACCCATTTTTCATTACATCGAACATATTTTATTCTTTCTCTACTGTATGTATATACTAAATAAATATCATTATCATCAATTCCACGCCAAAAACTTTATAATAATAATGGATATGAATATTCGATGATCTGTGTATTATTATGATCATCATTATCATGAACTTGAATATTTATTTTATATGACTATTTTACTCCACTATTATAAGAGTGTAATTGTTCATGGCAATCTTGGTTGATTAATTGTATTAGTATTATTAAATGTTATAATTAAAGGTTCAGTTTTTAGTGCATTTACTTCAATACACTGCATTGTTGTTTGGCAAAGATATAGGTTTTAATGCTGTCCAGGTTAATCCATCATCAGCACTATCAACATAATATATTGATGCAGCAGTTCGATCATAAAAAATGCGCACAAATTTTGAAGAATCGTTCAAACGAATGAGCGATGATTGAACACGATAGTACTCTTTGGAATATTAAAACTTGTCTATTTTGACATGTCTACGTGTGATCGAAGTATAAATGAATAATCAATATTTGCTGATGTATTTTAACATGGAAAAATTATGTCATCTTTTTTTTCCATTTAGGAATAATACGATTACGATTAAAAGGCACCTTGTACACTACGCCAAGGTGTAGTAGTGAATCAAGTAACACCTAATCAATTTAAATAGCTTATTTGAAAAAAGAAAATACTAAGGTCAAACTTGACTTATATTTCAGTCTGTTTTCCCATTTTACATGAGTTGAGTCTAAGAAGAAAATGTTCGTAAATTTGCTAATTTTATTCCCAATGAAGCAGCGAAGTTATTAAGTGGTTAAATTTAACTTCAATCGAAATTAAGTTTCATATTGTCCC